GGGAAAGCGAAACGTGGGTGGGATAGGGAATCGGGGGTGGGAGAGGTAAAAATCTGCGAGGGTGGTACCGGAAACCGGAACCGGTACCGGGAATCGCCACCGGTACCGGGAATCGCCGAGGGTGGTACCGGAAACCGGAACCGGTACCGGGAATACGAACCGGTACCGGGAATCCCCGAAGGTGGCAGCGGGAACACGAACCGGTACCGGGAATCGCCACCGGTACCGGGAATCGCCGAAGGTGGTACCGGGAACACGAACCGGCACCGGGAACCGGAACCGGCACCGGGAACCGCCTCCGATGGTATCGGGAATCGGGGTGGTACCGGTAAAATCCCCGAGGGTGGTAGCGGAAACCGGAACCGGTACCGGGAACACGAACCGGCACCGGGAATCGTCACCGGTACCGGGAACCACCGAAGGTGGCACTGGGAACCGGAATCGGCACCGGGAATCACCGAGGGGGGCAATGGGAAGCGGTACCGGTAAAACCCAGTCCAGTGGTACCTGGAACCGGAACCGGGAACACGGAGTGGTACCGGTAAAACCCTCTCTGGTAATACCGGAGGTGGTACCGGGAACCGGAACCAGGGGTGGTACCGGGAACGCCCTCCGGTAATACCAGGAGTGACACCGGGAACCGGAACCGGTACCGGCAACCCCCTCCGGTGGGACCGGGAATGGTACCGGGAATGGGGGGGGTGGTACCGAGAACTGCGGATGGCACCGAGAACCGGGGGTGGCACCGGGAACCGGGGATGGCTCGATCAGAACCGAACCCGCCCCCCCCACCCGTTAAAAACGCGGCACCGGGAACCGGGAATGGAACCGGGTGCGATTCCCCGGGTTAAAAATGCGGTACCGGGAGATGGGGGTGGTACCGAAAAGCGGGGGTGGTACCGGGAACCGAGGGTGGCACCGGGAACCGGCACCGGCTCGATCAGAACCGACCCCTCCCCGCCTTAAAAACGCGGCACCGAAAAAAAAAAACGGGAACGGCACCGAAAACCGGGAATGGCACCGGGAACCGGGACCGGTTCGCTCAGAGCTCCCCACGCCGGTTTTAAATCGGTACCGGGGGTGTCCCCGAACCCCCCCGGGGGTGTCCCCGGTACCGGGTGTCACCCCGCCCCCCCCGGGGGTGTCACCAACACCCGGTACCGGCCCGATCGGAGCTCCCCATCCCACCC